GTAGCCTGACTAATCGACCCCAAGCCCGACTAATGCCCGGAGGTAGCCAGATAAGCTTTTCCCTTTGACTTTAAGTGCAAACTTTTTTTTGTTTTTGTTGAGACTTCTTTAATATCCGATTACTGTTTTGCACGTGCCTATGCGTGTCAAAACCGAGTAGAGATCCTACGATAGGAAAAGCAGGCACACGATCGAGTAAGAGTCAAAATGAAGAGTTCAAGGCCAGGAATAAGACTATCCATATTCTCTTATCAACGTCCCACCCGCTCCTGTGTTGTGATGATTGTCATTTCCTCTCTCTTAATCTTTGTCTCTTTGTAACTATTTCCCACATACTTCTCTAGTAAGGCTGAAAAATGATATTGATTAGGATCTACCACCGTAAGAAAGAAACAGAGAGTTCGGTTGGACATTGGTCAATCTTTGTGCTTCTCAAACAATACTTGATTTTTTGGAAAACTCAGTAAACAACTAATAAATCATAGACCACCAAAAAACCGACTCTTTTTTGTCAATTGTAGCCGTCTAGATGAGGTTAAACTTCAAAGTTTGGTTTGGTCGATTAGGAGTATGCAAAGCCATCACAAGGAAAAAGTGATTTTTGCAAATCAAGATTCAGATCTTAGCTTTTGTGTTGAAATGTTTGTAGAGTGAGATTATTCATGTTGTACTCGTTACATAGTTTTCTCAATGGATAATGTTTGATGGATGGGCAGACATGGATGATACTGATGAGATCCTCCAAGAATGGAATCTGAAACATGAGCTTGAGGGCGTCTTTTTGTTTCAATGGTAATGTTCAACAAAAAGATGAACAAAAACATTATCTCCCATTAAGAGAGGGTTCTTAAATCCAATCATAGCGTAATCAAACTATCTTCGTCGTGTTCTTGGCTCCAAAATCAAAAACCGTGAATTCTGTTATAAATTAGGGATTTGACTTTGTTGATGAAAGTATTAAAGGTAAAGTAGGTGAAAGACTGAAAGTTAAACGAGATCTATTTTGAAATAGGAACAGAAACGGATGGGAGGAAGATGGACAAATCGGGAGAAGAGAAGAGTGAGAGACCCAACTCTTTGGAGTGTTTAGGTGAAATATGGAGTGTCTAGTTTTGGAGGAAGTAGGGTAACATGGAAATTAATATACCCAACTCTTTGGTCACCCACAATATAACCCTTAGTTGTGAATAGATGTTTTAATCTGTATATAACAGAACAACGTTGTTTTGATCAAACAAAATAATACATATGCCATAATCGAACACAAGGTACCGTTTAGATTAATCTGCATAACACAACCATTCCGCCACAAAGAAGTTTTGTTAAATTAATAACTTATACCTAAATAATAAGAACATTATGATGACATAAAAAACAAACAAATACTTCTCATATCTGGTAGCACACACGCCTGCGCAACGTTCACCAACGCACCTCGATGCAAGATTCGATGTATTATCTTACGAGGATGAGTTATTCAGATTGGAACTCAATAGCATAAAT